GGTTTGCTGGGTGCAGCTTAAGAATTAACTTGCTCTTTTATTTTTTTAAAAAATATTCTAAGGAATGGAAATCTCACCAGAGCAGTGTTACTGTGAGAAATCTCTAGCGTGAGAGCAATGACCTCCAGTTCTCTGCACCTCACCAGGCTTTGCGTGATGAGTGAAGTTAACTCTGCTGCCTGTTTAGGGACGTGACAGGCTACAGCTCGCATGTAGATGCCAAGTTAAAATGACTATTTAACTCTAGGAAAGCCAGCTTTTACTTGCTGTCTCCTAGTTCTACTTGCATTGCCTTCAAGGAAAACAATAAACTTTTAATTTCTTTTCATGACAACTTTTATCTGGGATTCTTAGTGTACCTTACAGACTTTAGCTCTGCATTTCCCAGCCTCCCAGTAAGAGACAAGTTGTCTGACACAGGGGCAATGATGAGCACAGGGACTGCCATAGGATATTCTGAGCCAATGTTAGAAAGGATTCTAACAAAGGATTCATCCTGCTTCTGTGTTTTTACAGTAATGCAGACTTCCACCTACCTAACTGTAATAGCAGGGAAGTTCAAAAGAAAAAAAAAAGGATAAAAGCAGCATTTACTTTTCGTAATTCTCCTACTATCTTTTTATATTGCATTATTAAATGCATTTCTAAGGCATTTCCTCTTGAAATAGGAAAGAAGGCTGTTAATTTTAAGCTATTATTTAATACTATTCATTAGCTACTGGTTCAAGTACTTTTAGATTAATTTATGACATCATTATTTTAAACTCCTACAAGAAAGGTGGGCCTGAAAAAGAAGTTGTTGTTTGAAAACTGTGAGATCTAAACTGTGATGGAAGACAATACAATTGTCTTGAATACTTTAAGGAGAACAACTTTCTCTGTGTCTCATTACTTTAAATATTATTTTTATTTTCTGGATTATTTGCTCAAATGCTGCTAATATAGTGAGGTATGTAAAAAATACATACTGAGAGAATGGGCCCTAATTTCTTCCTTTAAATAAGCAGCTAGGATCCAGAACTTTAATGTGATGTCTTCTTAGAAGGCAGACACCAGGATTGTGTGTCAAATGAAGTTTCTGAATGTGTTTTTTGCGTGGCAAAAATCCAGTCTGGAAAAATGTACTGAATAAATCACCTTTGATAGCTGGGTTAGAAAAATGTCCCCAGTGATTTGGTTAGTAAAAGGTGGAAGGTGGTGTTGCTGCTGTTTGACTTTCAGAAAAAAAGAACAGCTCTATGACTAATCATCATTCTGGCTGAAAACATGATCTGAGTGAAAATGATATTACAGTTTCAGGCAGTTTCTTATAATTTTTCCTATCTTCAGCCTATGTTGTGTCAGTCCAGTTGGGATTGCCCTGAAGTAACCTGCTTGTTTTGTTCAGGTTCTCATTTCAGAGACTTATGCAGCATCAGCAAAACTTCATTGTCCATATTTGTGTAGAGTTAGATGCAGAATCCAGGATCAGAGAAGAGCTGGGAAAGTATAACAACTTAATATTCCCCAAAGGCCTCACTTTTATGAAATGACAAGTCTGAGGCCTTTGAGAGTTTGCAGCTTGGACAGGTGATAGGGAAATGAAGCAGCTGCACATCACAGACTTTATAGCTCTAGCATAAAAGTGAATGGAACTGTCTTCAATTACATCTGTCCATTTCTGCCAGGTGTGAAGGTGCATGGGAAGTTTCTTTGATCAGCAGAGTTAATTGCTGATGAATACTCTGCAGAGATTGTCCTGGGTGACGCTGGGTAGATGCTCTGAGAAGACCATAGATCCATGTACTGTATTGCCCCAGTGCATAGATACAAGGATTTTATCAAGTTGAATTTGATTTACGTTCTCTGCAAATTTGTCCAACAAAAAGAAATCTAAATCCAGATGTAGGTCCTGAGAACACTAATATTCCTGTTTTCCCTCTCACCTTTCCCACTTGTCATGCTCCAGGTGTTTCTTTTTGTCTTTTGTAAATAGTTTGGGGAAGAGGTTCATCTGTATAAGTGAACATTACAAGCTATCACATGTACTCAGGCTGCTGGATGCTTCCAGTATGTTGGGAGACATTAGCCTAGCAGATAATTCCTAAAGGCTTTCACCATCTAGCAAGGCAAGGCACAGTCTTATCCTTGACAGACTTGCTTCTCAGAGGACTGGTCCTAAATCAAAGACAACAAAGAGTTCCTCATTCTATTAATTGTTTTGTCAGAGAAACTCTTCCAAAAGTTTACAGTCTCTTGTGCAAACCAATGTGTAAAGCTGCAGCAAGAAGCACCAGTATTTGAAGGGCTTCACGTAATTTCTGCAGGTTCAAGCTGCAAGAACCCTGCATTGGAAGCAAAGTCAGTTCAGTGTTCAAAGGAGAAATGGAAAAACTTATTTGTCACAAATAGAACCTATTTGCTTGCCACTTGTTCAACACCCATATGCATAGTCTAGCTACGGATACTAGTAAATGCTGAAAACTTATGGAGACAAAGTTCAAGACACTGAAAGCTTGCCCTTTGACAGCAGATGGCTGTAGTGCTTCAGCTACCAGATGATCTGCTGTGTAGAGAAGTGTTCTTCATAGAATCATAGAATGGCTAGGGTTGGAAAGGGACTTTTAAAGATCATCTAGAACCAACCATGCTATCTATGTAGTGAACTTTCTTAAGAACATGCAGATTGTTTGAGACCCTGTAAGTCAGTCCCAGTGGCTGAACCATAATACGTGTTTTTACTCCAGGTATGAGAAAGCTTCTGTCCAATTTTTTGTCCCTATCAGTGGCACTGGAGAGACTGCATGGGAGCTTGGGGTTGCCTTGTATGTGAAACTGCTATTTGTGAAGACACTAGCTCATGTTTTAACTAGGACCTGTGCAAAGAATGTTGCAGTGCAAGAAAGGTGAAAAGATGGAAAACACCTGTATTGATCCTGCCCTATATTAAGTAGTGCTTTGCTTTACTGCCATTCCAGCTGCTTGTCGTTAGTGGAAACATGGAGCTGCGTGAGTCAGGAGTAAGCTCTCCAGTGCAGAAATCTCCTGAGTCTTTAAAGACTGTGAATGTCTCTTTTGTACTTCTATCCAGCAGCCAGAGTCAGTTTGTCAGGAAGTTTGGTGACTGTCCTGGAAGGCAGCTGTTCATGGCATTCATTTAGTTCCATGTTTGTACATAAATGAAGAGGGTACTTTGAAAGGAAATGGATCAAATACGACACAGGACTTATGTTGTGTGCATTATGGTATAACAAATCTGTGGAACTTGCTGCTGAAGGAAACAAAGCAATAGTGTTCAAGAAACTTTTGCAAAGAAATGCAAAGAGAAGAGATAGGTAACAGGTGACCAGCAAAACTCAGAACACCTGGTTTTACAGGGCTTTTGCAACACAGGGCTATGTTGTTCCTTTCTGATTCTGCAGCCATCAATTAGATATTTGCCCTCAACTTCCCTCCTCCCTCAACCCCATAACCACTGTAGTTTGCTGTGAACTGCACAGGAGACTGAATGTACTGTGAGTGAGTGCACAAGAGCCTAAAGCTAGGCAAACACCCATGGCCCAACTAGCTGCTGCTTTTTGGCTGCCAGGCAAGCCGAACAGCCTGTGCTTCCTCACAGCTGCTGGCCAACCAAACAAACAGCCTCAACAGATGCAGCCAACCCCTGGGCCATTGTTGTAGGAACTTGGGGTGTTAAAGCCCTTCGGCCCTTTGTCCAATGTGACTAAAATTGGCCAAGAGTCAGAAGCTGGTGGGAGGGGGAGGACCAGCAGCTGACAGCAATCACCGAAGCCCTTCCCCGGTCTAACCATGACATGAGTAAGCATGAGTCATTGCGTAAATTGACAAGCCTAAAATTATCTACAGGGATGAATACTGTCTAACTGGCCCAACACATTATGGGCTTTCTGCTTACTCTGGAATTGGCAGGTGTTGGCTTTGGGTGCAGATAGGCTTGACTCTAGGCCAGTAAAAGCCTGACAGCTCAAATTTTTTATTTTATTTTTTTTTTATTTGGGCCTGCTGCTTTTGCTTTTAGATGGAGATTGAGCAAGGACCTTCTTCCCTATATTGCAGCCTCGAGACATTACTGATTTGGTGCTGAAGCTGGTATTTTATTCTCCTGGTAGCTTCTTGCCCTCTGGCATTGAATCCAAGCTGATGCTCCAAACCCTCCCCTCCGGCATTCTTCCCAGGCTGTCCTGTCAGATGCAAAACAAATACTCAGTGCCTCAGAGCTCCCTGCATCCAGGAGGAACTGAATTTTCACACTGGCTCTCAACTTCATCAGCAGAGCCAAAGCAAGATTAATGTGGAAACTAATCCCTTTGCCCCTACCATGCACATCCTCTTCAATGGTGTAGCCAAGAAACACTGACAAGAATGAACCTTTTCTGTAAATTTCTCTGAGATAGGAAATACCCAAATTTTACCTTTCTCTTCTTCCTCTTTCCCAGTCACTGCATAAGGAAAACCAGTCTTCCTGGAGCAGGAAAGCACCTTCTTCATCCCACTACTAATGATACAAGTTTATTTTAAGAATAAATTTCATACCTGTGCAGGATTGCTGTAGCTAGTCTTGGCTCTCTATAGCTATTAGCTAGACCTAGTAGGTGGCAGAGCTTTTTAGAGTACCTGCTGCCTACACAGAAGCAGCCAAGAATAGCTGTAACCTCTCCCAGGGATCAAGTATACAAGTCTGGAGCTCCAGGGATCCCTTCTTGTTATGCAAATGACACTACCATGATAGCTATAGGAACATGCTACTGTTTGAAACTAGACACAGGTATCTGGAAATAAGGGCAGCCTGTAATGCTGAATTGACAAGAAGGGATATCAAGGTTTCTTGTCTCCCCGACTTCCACTTTTCAGGTGTCACAAAGTCCTCTGCAGCCTTGTGCATTGTTAACTGGTCATGCAGAACTCACCACAATCCCTCTCCTAGCCTAAAGACAGCTTGCTCCAGAAGGCTGCCTGTTTCTCTTTTGCAGTGACTCATTTTAGCACATGTTCTTGCACAGGGTCCTGGACTGTCCAGCTAGAGAGGGGAGACAGCGTGGTGGTGCTGCGCAGCCTGCTGTGGCTGGGACTGACGTTCTACCATGTCCCAATGACCAAGCAATATGGCTACGTCTACTTTGGCACTGGTGAGAAGAACATAGATCTGCCTTTCATGCTGTGACTCTCCTGTCTGGGATGAGGACTGGAAAACATTTGGTTGTTATACTTAAGAATTTTTTGTTTACTGTTTGTTCCAATAAATGTGTGGAATTTCTGCACTTTGAGCAGGATTCTTTTGTGCCTGGCCTCTGGCTCTGATTCTTTTACTAGGACTTCACTGTGTGCAATCCTCCTTCAACTCCAAACTGAATTGCCTGCCATGTACCCCTGCAGATCCTTTAGATAGTGACAAGTGGCGTTTTCTTCCATGACAGGCAAAGCCCTAGGTCAGAAATCAAACCTAGGCCATCTGTCTGATTAAAAAGGCACAAAAACTCATTTGGAGACAAGAACAGATACCTGCTGTCACCCATGAATGACAAACAAAAATAGACTTTCTGCCTTGAGTCAGAGTAGAAAGCTGATGCATACTGTAAGGGATCCCTACTAAACCCTCAACTCCAGAAAGGCATATTGGAGAGGAGGGTATTTTGGTTTTCAGATGCTGAGTTCCACCAAAATTAGAGGGGTCTTTCCAGCTCATGACACTAAACTGTAAAAAAAAAATGTAACTGTGGTCATCACCTGGTCTTCTGTAAAATGTGCCGATTTGGGTTTATATCCAGTAACTTTTCCATTGGCATAACTCACTGAGCAGAGCTGCCTGAGCTGGGAGACACTGTAACTTCTGCATGTTGAAGAAAGAAAAATCTTTTTCTTTCTGAAGGGCTGTAGGTTTCAAAGTTTCATAAAATAGAGATGGTCAGCCAGACACCTTATCTCAGTATAGTAAATGAAGTCCTGGCTGTCGCCCAAAGCAAGATCATCTTGGGCAGCTCAAGGGGCTGAATATAGGGCTTCTATTTCACTACGTAAGGCTGAAAAGAACCACTACAATCTAATTTGACTTCCTAGGTAATACAGGTTTATCCTTACCCTTTGTCCCTATCCATACCAATGGGTATTGATAGATGACTCTGATGAAAGCAGTACAAGGTTAAGTGGCATAGTAGTCCATAAAAAAGCTGTGTTGATTTGTAGCCCCCAGATAAATACCAAAGAAACTGAGCCAAAGCAATAATGACCCTGATAAATATAATAAGCCTGTAACACCAGGCCCATAAGTAGGACTTCTCAAATGGTGGGCAGTAGGTGGAAGGCACATACATATACTGTACATGGGAGAGAAATAGTGCCACCTTTTAGTTACAGGATGGAAAACTATGCACACCTCTCAGCCCTGAGATATCCCAGGAAGCAAACATATCACTGACATAGAAGACTTGTAGCAAATCTAAGTCCAAGTGGAAAAAACAGATGAAGTCATTAAGGATGTCAGCATTCTCCCAAGTAATTCTGCACATGGAACTTTGCTTTGCTAGATCATTGCTCATTCACTGGAGACAATATGGAGTACTAAAGATAGTTTTGGAATCTGAGATACTGACAACCTTGCAAAGAAAGCAGAACAGTGTAAAACAGCTGTGCTTACTGACCATGCCAGTTCTGGCCACTAGTGGTTTAAAAAGAGAGGCCTGTGTGTATATTTGACATTATCCTTCAGCAAAGGGTGTCCGACTGGCATGGTTTTTTTGCACCACTTAGGGCCCCTCCTCCAGATGGGCTTTGCAGCTTTGATGGACCAGCGAGTCAGATATCTGTAAAAACAAAAAAAATGCATTTCAGTTTGAGACTGATCACTGATAAAAACATTTTGAATAAAGCAGAAGCTGTAGCCTTTGCCTCCCCACATGCCTCTTTATAAAAGGAATAACTGTGAGCAGGGCTTCCTCTATTCAGAAGGAACCACTGAAAAGGAATTTTTGTTTGTTTTGGAACTTCTAAGCTGTACCTCTGAACCCACTGGCACCTGCTTGACTTCAGTCTCACGAAACAAATCAGGTGTAGTCTCTAGGCTGCTGGCAAGTTGTCCATCTGTAGCTAAACTGGAGTGCCAAATCCCTCCATTGCAACTAAATCCAGGACTGAAAGCATCCAGCCTCTATGGGAGGTGTTTTTTCAACAGGTGGCCTCAATAAGGTAAAATAATTCCAAAGGCTAAACTCTGTGAGAAACAGTCTCTAAAAATGGTTTAATTTACTTTCAGAAGATAATTGGTTATTTGTTCTGCATGAGATGATGGGTTTATGACCTAGTTTTGTAGTTTCATATGTCCAAATTTGCTTTAGTATTCTCTGTAAAATACCATTGCAGCTTGCTGGTGCAGAAGTCAGAACCTACAATATAAGAGGTACTAGAATGGAAATGATCATCACAACTACAGATCCCTGTGAAGAGCAAGATCTGGCAAATATCCTCTGCTTTTTACCATTTGAAGTTTTAGAGTTGGCTTTGCAAGCAGGGAAGGGATTTCAAATCCAGAATCAGTTACTGGAAATCTTACTCTGTGGCTGGGTGGCCTGGAGTTTTGTTAGGCTTTAAATCTTTTGCTACCAGTAGAGAGGGGAATAGAGGTCCTTAGAGAAAGAGAAGTCTTTTCAGACAATAAAGATCCAAAGTAAAACCCTAGCATAATCTTCACAAACAATGATCCAACAAATTAGAATTTGGAACAGACTGATAAAACTTTGTCCAGCAATGTTTGCATGCCTCTGTTGAGTAATCCCATGGTCTTAATGTAACCTCAATCAGTCATCCTCTCCCCAAACAGCTTTGTTACCTTTTGTTTGCATCATGCAAATTTAAGATATTAAGAACTTTGGACAGAGACCCTATAATGCATTTGTTGAAGGCATCTGGCACATTCCTGAGGACTACAAAGAAAGCTTATGATGCCAGGCAGCTACAGACTGTGCAATAACAGCCCATTTTCTTAGCACTTTTCTTCCTCAGCAATACCGAACAGCACAAAGTGAAAAGTGAACCACATTTGGAGCCTCCTGCCACTGAAATGAAGCCACTTCCAAAATGCTGTGCTCTTGCTTTGAGGAGTTTATGACCGTTAAGACACCTAGAGGAATAGCAGGAGGGATTTGGGAGATGCTGTAGAGCCACTTGTTCTCCTGAGCGTGCATTAAATTAGTCCCTTTTGACCTTTAATGTTATGCTAACGCATTAGTGGAATCCCTTACATAAGAGCACCAGGACAGGAAGCAGGAGAGACTCTCTCATTTCACATGCAAGGGGAGTTCAGAAAGTCCCAACGCAGGTCCCCAGTGCAGAATCCAGCAAAGAACCATGGCAAGGCAGCTCCTTTAGGAGAAGCTGTAGGGGCATTTTATGGGCAGATGGAGCTAGGTCCTTCATTTCACATTCCCTGTGCGGCATGGGGAGGTCTGCAGCACAAGTTCTGGCATCACAAGACTGCACTTACAGGGAAGGAAGAAAAAAAATCACAAATTGTTTTGTGTCAAGTGAAGTTCTGGTCACATGTCCACATGCTTGTGGGAAAGTGCTCCTGTGATAGTAAGTGATCTCACTGGGAGAGAAGTGAATGTGTGAATGTCAGATAAGCATCAATGCTGTGTGCAGGTTTAGACAGACAGTGGCTTTTTAAGAAATCCCTCTGTTTCCGTGAGGGGGCTGGAAGTGCACACCCCAATTCTGCATAGGAAGGAGGATTTAGTAATGGCCTGATTTTAAAGCTTTTGTTATTTCTCTTTTGAGCAGGTCTAATCCAGCCCTCTGGTCCAGGCTTTTGGCCTCCTTTGGGGACTGCAGGCTGGGGCTTTTCATTGTTAGCTGAAACAGACATTTGGACACTTTCCCTTCCTGGAGCACATTCGCTTTTAGTGCTTTTAATACTTGCTTTGTCCCAGACTCAAACTTGTCCTATTTTATTTGCTGCCTCTTTCTAATTATTAATTACTTTTTTTTTTTTTTACCTTGATTCAGCAGTGGCAAAAGCCAGATGCCTGGGAGGAGTTAGTCTACAAAGTTCCTTTTCCTCTTTGACTAACCCCAGTTCCTACTGTTTCACAGGCAGACTTTTTTTTTTCCCCGAGCGTAAAAACAATCCACAAAACTCACATATAAAAGAGCTTCAAAGCCAAGCACAAAGGACTTTTCTGCAAACTGCTGTCCATGTAAGGTGGTGAACCCCATTTTCTAGCCAAGTCACCCAACTTTCCATTGTATCCCTTCCCAGTTTGTCTCGGGGAGTTTTTACAATAACCTACAAACACACACTGGCAGATGGTCTGAATTTTCTCAACCAGCTGAGGGTTGTCAGAACAGATCCTCCATGTGGATGCCAAATGCAGCTGGTCTGCAATCTTCTAACCTGTTACTGCAGTGTGCACAGCTTTCATTCTGGACAAGGGGGGACAGAACTCCCAATCTTGGGGATGGGCGACCGACCTCAGGGCTCTGCTTGTCCCCTTGAGTACACTAGGATCCTGGGCAACAACCAGAAACTCCAGCTGCACAAATGCATAGTTTGGATAAAACTTGATGGGGATCCTGGTGTGATTTCCCTGATGGCAAAAAGCAAGATATAAACAGGATGGAAAAACGTGTTGTCACCTGCAGTCATTGCAGTTGCCCAATATCTCTG